ATCTAGATTTGAATTTTTTTCCAGTGCAGTCACTGGAAAAAATCAAAATCTAGAAAAGTTATTTTTTCTTAAAATAAGTGCATTTTTTCTTAGATTGACGAGGTAAAAGAGACATTTTGCCAATAGACCAAGACAATTTACACTTAAAATAAGAAAACACAATTGCATTATCTTATTTTAAGAGTAAAACTACTCATTCCATTGGCAAACTATCTTATTTACCTTCTCTAATTAAGGGTAAATACACTTAATTTATTTCTAGATCATTTTTCCAGTGCATTGAAGCTCCTGTGTTTGCAGCAGCTTTCAAACGTGCAAAGGGTTTGCTCCTACACATGGAGGGCAGTTGTGATAAAGAAAATAGGTGAGAGGGAAACCACATCAAAGCAAAGAGTAGCTGTTCTTCACTGACTAGCAGAGGATGCTTATAGAACGCTGACATTTTTAAGCAAAGTGTTTAAAGAGGCAGCCAGTAATCAGCAAACAGATCCACTCATTATAGTTGCACGCAGCAGGCAGGAGGGGTTGCATTCACACAAACGGCTGCAGTTTGGTATATTTTGGATCTCAATCATCTTTCATTGCACTTCTGACTCAGAAGTTTTCCACTTATTTGAAAGGTTTTTACTTGTGAAGTGGAAACGAATGTGTCAAGCATGCCCGTCACATTCTGTGTTGTGTTTTCTAGGACACTCCTACTGTCTCCATCCCATCCACCATGAAAACAAAAATGAAGGTGGAGAACAAAGTGTCCGTCACCTTTTTTAAGAACAACTCTCTGTTCCAGGTAGGCCGCCGCCTTTCCCTCCATCTCTGAGCGTCTCATCGGCCCTCGGTTGTCGTTTCTTTCTCTGCTGCATGCTTTACGCTTAGCTCTGTATGTGAAGTGGTTATTGTTGGATGCTAAACGTGTGTTTGTGTGTGAAATCGAGGTTGGCTACGAGGAGGTTCAGCTTCTCAATGATGTGGTAGAAATCACAGTGGAGAATGAGGTCATCGCTAATCTGACTGAGCCCATAAGCATCGACTTTCACCATAACCTCCTACCTGTAAGTATTTTTAATAATAAAATATCAGTTCAAATTTGGCTTTTTGTTATTGTGCATTGAAATGTTGTAAAAGTTTAAATTTAAATCAGGTTTTATGGTTCATCACTTCATTAATTCAAACTGGTGATTTTAGTTCCACTCATCATCAGTGACCAATCTAATATATCCTTATTTTTACTATGAAGACTCAATGTTAGAATTATGCATTAAAGCTGCAAAACAGACAGAATACTACATACATGAATACATTTGACTTGATTTGGTAGGAACTAGAGAAGCACTGATCTGCTTTGAAATATTTAGGAAAATACTAGAAATCTAAGTTAGATTAAAAATGTCTGGAACAGCAGAAAATGTTACAACTTTACAGACTAAAAGCCACCACAGTTCTACAATAGAAATGTTGATCACACCAACATTTAACCGCTAGAGAATAACATTTAATATTTTGCTAAATTGTTGAACTAATAAATGTATATCTATATAGCTAGTAAATATG